CTTTTTTTTTTTTTTTGTGTGTGTGTGTATCTTGTTCCATAACAATCAAGCAATTCAATTATTTTTTGATTAGATACTATAAATATGTGACGATTTTCCCCTCAATAAATAAAACGGCACAAAAATTAAGATCACATAAGAAAGGACCAAGTAAATAAGAAAAAATTAAAAAAAAAAAAATCCACAAACATGAAAACCGGTCTTGGCAACCATCACTACTAAACCAACAAACCTTCCAAACAAACCCTACTAAAAATAGGAGGGAATATCATTTTTCCTTTTATACAATAGATCACACTAGAATTTATGGCTATATTTCTCAATTCTGTCAGGCTGGCAGTAAACCAAACTTTTAGAATATTTGAATTCACACAAGTATAACTAGAAACACCCCTAGAAAAACAACAATTTTCCCATACAGATGAACTTTTACTGACTGGACTTTGCCAGTGTGTGTTCTTTAGTGACCTTTTCATGATGATTCCATATGAATCGTATACAAAAAGACCCAAAAACAGTTACATTATTGAGTACATACAAGCAAAATAACCTTATTACAAGTAAACAACCTTATTATAGATTGAGTAGATTTCAATATCTTTGCGCAAACGGGAAGTAATTCTACAAACGGCTTCGGCTACTAGACACGGCTGGTTTAAAACTAGCAAATCCGGTAATTTCCCTACCAGTTACCAATGTGTTGATATCGTAAGTCCCTTCGTACGTGTATATAGGCTCCAAATCACAGAAAGCCTGAATTTGAATTTTTTTTTTAAGGAAAAGTAAGATAAATAAGGAAATAAAAGAGTGGAAAAAAGAAAAAGGCGAAGAAAAAAGTATGACAACTCACTTTTGCAACAAGAAAGTCAGTTAAAATCCCGTTTCCACCGAGTAACTCCCGCCCGAGAGAAACAGCCTCTCTTGCCATCAATGTAATCCATGACTGAGAATAGGTATGAGAAGACTTTCATGAATTAGGCTATATTTGGTAAAACTAGGATAAGTGATTTTCGAGCTTATAGCTAATATAGCTTATAGCTCATGACTTATAGCTGAAAAACTAGCTTATATGATAACTCTAGCTGAAATAAAAATTTCAATGAACTTATTTGAAAAGTTACCCAAAGAAGCTTATGAGATAAGCTCGAGTTTTTTCCTACCAAACGAAGTTTTATTTGAATATAGGAAACTTATAAGCTAACCAAATAAGCTAGCTACTTTTACCGAGGTTAACAAATGAAAAAATAAAAAATAATTTTTCTTTCGATATTTATTTTACCTTGCCCAAGCTAGCATGACCAGGAGTCATCTTACCACTCTCGTACATCTTGCACAAACGCCAACCGATGAGTTGCATTGCTTGAATGTTACCTAACATGCGAACTAACTTTTGTTGGTTTAGTTGGAAAGCTGCTAATGAGGTACCGAATTGCTTTCTCTCCTTTAGATACCTTCATGGCACAATGAATAAACAGCCTTAGAAGCTCTATACATCACATTTCACTATCTCACAAAACGAGGAAAGTAAACAATAACTATAACTAATTGTCACAACTTAAGGGGTTCGAGCTTCTAATTAAGATGCAATAGATTGGACACATGCTAACTCGGAGTTGGTTTTTTGCGTATTCTCATATTTGCATATGCTCATTTATTTTACCGAAAGAAAAAGTGAGTTGCATACTTGCATTCAATAATTACTATAATAATTGTGACAAGTTTGGGGTTAGAGCTTCTAATTAAGATGCAATAGGTTGGATACATACAAACTGCTAACTTAGAACTGGTTTTTTGTGTATTCTCATTTGTTATATTTTATTTTTCTAATGCAAATGCATACAACAACAACAACAACATACCCACCCAGTATATTCCCAACAAGTTGCCCAACAAGTTGGGGTCTGGGGGGTCAGACCTTACCCTTGTAATTATACAAGGAGGCTGTTTCCGTAGCGACCCAAGGTGCATTGCGCCGTTTGATATATTTTTTTTTTTTCTAGAAACTTCACTAATAGAAGAAGCACTAGAATTTAATTGAGCCATTTTGATTTAGTCCATTATTAGCACTAATGCAAATGCATAATCTCATTTATTTGACCTAAAGGAAGGAGGGTTGCATTCAATACTAACTTCTTCATTGCAATTTGTGAGATGCTATCTTTTAATTTTTCGCGAATCGTAATCTAGGCAGGTGAGCTATAAGATAACGATTTGGGCAAGAAACATTAATAACATTTATAATAGCCAACAATTGAATAAAGTGCAAAACACGCTAAAAAACCTGTTGATGAAACTGCAAGTCCAATATAAAAACTACTTGATTTGATCTCTCAAAATCAATTACTAAAGCTAACTACCACTTGAAAAAAGGGAATAACAAACTTCGATTTACCAAAATTTTGGTGACCAGTCCATATTAAAATAAAAAAATAAATAAGTACCTGTGACACATATCATAAACACCCATTGAAATGCCAATAGGCTGCCAGGCCACCATGACGCGTGAAACAGCAAGCACCTAATTGAACCAGATTGGTGAATATCAAATTAAAGTATTTAACTCATATATTGGCAGATTATAAACAAACAAAAATACAGTAAATATGTTTCACAATAAATGAATAAATAACATGCCGTATGCTATCTCTTTGATATACTGGGCATTCAAAACATTAAGCGGCCTCATAGAAATTGCACCAGTTTTTAAGCGCCATAATTTCGTACCTTGTTTGTATCTTGAAAAGAATTAACTCCTGGAAGCCTATCTTCATCAGGCACAAATACGTTCTTCATCAGAATATCACCATTCTGAACAATTCTCAAACCGATTTTGTTTTCTATTTTAGTAGCTTGTAAGCCTGGAGTATTCTTCTTTAGGATGAACCTGTAGGACACGCAGATCAACACTAATGTCCAGAATATGATCAAAGCACTTAAATCAAAAACTGCATGATACTAAACATTCAGCCAAACACAACATGATTAACACGAAATAGTAGATTAAAATTCTAAAAACAAAATAAGTGACCTATAAAAACTCCTGTGAGGATTTCCATTCATTAGACACCCAACATGAACAATACAATAAAAGGTATTATTACTTTGACCTACCCATTTATCTGATTTGTGGACAAATTTCGAGCAAAAATAACTAACACATCTGCAAATGTGCTGTTCCCTATCCACCGCTTTTGGCCATCAAGTATCCAACCACCCTCAACCTGATTATTTTGAGATCGATTAATACACAAACTCTGATAGAGAAAAAAACCAAGAAAATACACACAATTTACTGCAATGAGGCAATTTTATTCATAATCCTCACTTTTCTTGCTGTTGTTTTCAAAGCACTTGCATCACTTCCATAATCTGGTTCAGTTAAGGCCTGGTTCCATTCAACACACATATTTTAGCACTCAATTTTTTGACCAAAAAGATGTATGTCCAAGGGGAAACACTACAAGAAAGTGATGAAATTTCGATATAAAATTCCAACAAAAATATATAGCAATGGAAAATTCCAACAATAATATATTCCAACGAAATTCCAATTGATATTCCAATGCTTTGTTTCCGTTGGAATTTTCCAAGGAATTCCAATGAAAATTCCAACAAAAAATATAAACATTCTATTTTATGTTGGAATGAGTTTTTCATTGGAATTTCCGTTGGATTTTGACAAGTCCAACTGTAGATTTTCCAACGGGTGTGGAAATAAAAATGCCAACGAAAATTGTTTGTTAGAAAAATAGCCATTAAAATCAACAAATTCCATATAAAATTCCAATGTAAAACTCATTCCAACGAAATATTTTCTTTGAAATTTCCATTGGAATTTTTATTGGAATATAACAATTTTATTGTAAAAAAAAAAAAAAACTGCATTACTAATAGAAAAGTTTCCTCACCCAACAAGCTACACTCTTTAGCTCCGCAAGAGATGGTAGATATTTCTCCTTTTGCGCTTCAGACCCACACAGTGCTATCCTTGACAGAACAAGAAATTACAAATAGTTGCAAATTGCAATCACCATGTTTGTAAGCAAACTTTCGGGGTTAATGATTTTACCAATTGTAAGCATAGCCAAGGAAGAGTGCACCAAAATGAAAGTAGAACAGCTGGCATCAACTCTTGCAACCTCGGCAGCCGCAACAGCATTTGCAGTAATGGAAAGATTAGGACAACCATAACCCTGCATATTCGGGAAAATCCATCTTTTTCTTAGCAATGTCTTTGTTATTTGATCAAATAGCTTGTATTTCTAAGTAATTACCCCATAGATCCTATATCTATCTATATAAAGAAGGATTCTCTTGGTGTCCGTATATCTATCTAACAAATGGGATTTCGCATAGATCTATCCCACTTTTTTTTTGGGTTAACCAAAGAGGTTTAGTACATGAGTTTGAAACTGAAATTGGGAATCAGTTTGGATTAATAATCTGTTTTATTTCGTTTTATCATTTTTCCCACCTTCAGAAGAAAAAATGTCCCCTCACCGCACATAGTTCTCGATTTCACGATCTTCACGTTCAGAAACATGAAAAGAATATAAATTCTTAAAATTATGAATTTTTAAAACAACGTTACCTTGATACTGCCACCAGCAATACGCAGTGCCCCAAGTTTCGGGATCACTTCAAAAGGAAATTCTGCCCTCTCCCAATACTGAGAAGGCACAATTACAATCATATTCTCAATCAGTTAAATCCAAAAACAATAACATTTAAAGGATCCATACACGGATGCAATAACAACACGAAAATGTAAAATTTGAACAAGAAACACCTTAGCCATTATTGGAGCAACTTCCTTCTCCATGCACTCTCTTACTTTCTTTCTAACAGCTTTCTCCTCAGGAGTCAACAGATCATCAAACTGATAGTAATCTGACACTGTTAAGTTCAAGGGTTCATCATTAGTCGACACCCAACAAAATTCGGATTATAGAACAACCAAATAAACCTACACTAGCTAACCAGAAAAACTTTGATTTCCAAAATAACTGACCAAACCCAGAAATCATAAACATGAACATCGCAATCATTTAATAAGGAAAAGCAATTTTAAGGAAGATCAAAATTACCACTTGGGGGAAAGATTGAAGCTGGAGTTGCCTGAGGAAATGCGACGGACACATCCAACGCCGGCAAATCAAAATACGAACTTTTTGCCTCGTGATGCATATTCTCTGTTTCAATGCTCAAGATTATACCTCAAACAAGATAATTGCAGAAATAATTGCAAGAATTGGATGGAAATAAAAGAAAGCTCGAACGGAAAAAAAGTAAACACCTTGAGCTTTCGAAGCGGGGACTTTCATGGCGATTGATAAAGGGTAGCTGGACCGCGAGATCGAAGATGAAAGCAGAGACTTTAGAAGATTTGCAGAGGATTTGGATACAAATGAAAATGGTGGTTTATGTAAATTATGTTGCTGATTGATATGAAAGTAGGAGAACTTGACACGCACTTCTATGCCGTCCTATTTATTTTATTTTATTTTGTTTTCACACTAATAAAAGGAAACCAACCGAATAGAAATATAGAATAGTAAAATAACCAACTATTTCACTAATCTCATGATTTTCATGAGAACTAGTACAGTACCCGTGCGATGCACGGGATGGTATATTTTCTTGAAATGTTTAACGTGTGAAATATTAAAAATAATATAATTTATATATATGTAATAAAAATAAATGGATTGCAAAGAAGGAAAAAAATATAAATTATTGAACACTTTCTTTGTGAAGTAAAATTTGTGAAGGTTTGGTATATTTGATTATGAATAGAAAAGTATGAAATACTACCTGCGGACCGTTGAGATAGATGAGAAGATTTACTTAGAATATATAGAATAAATATTGAGATAATGATTTACCTTTTACCTAGTATAGATAAAATAAATATTGACATGATGTGGGAAAATTATGACGAATTATGACATAAATTCGTTTAGAAAATATTCAAAAATTAGATTTATTTTTTATTTTTTAAATCTTTACAGTAATTTGTACGTTCCTTTTCATACGCTTAATTTACAAATCAAAATTAATGCAACTCGAAATATTATATAACAAATAAAATGAGATTTTTATCTAACATTTAGTATATTGCCGGAAAATTTTTTATAAATCTTATTCTCTTTTTATGCACATAGATATTAAAGAATGAGTAAGAAAAATATCTAAATATGTTTAAAAGTATCTAATATTATATGTGTTAACAGTGTTACAACCAAAAGACATTAAGAATACGCAGACTATTATATAACATATGTGAAAGTATTAAAATATTTTATATTATTATTGAAAAATGTGAAATTACCTCAATTTTGTCTAGACTATTTTATAAGAAAAATATATATACTTAAAGTTAGCACACATATATATATATCCTTAAAATTTGCCCAACTAACATGTTTAAAAGTATATAAAATTTTATATATAAAATACGTTTAAAGTTTACATATTTTACAAAAATTAGACTGCTCTCAGTTTATATAAAGTTTGTTGCTCTCATATTCGGATAATATATTATGCATTTAATGAAAGCACCTACGATACAAATTTATAAATATTAATTAAAATAATTTTCTAAATTATATAAAATTGAAATAACAAAGGTAAATATTACCTGTTCATCGTGAAAATGCGTTACAGCTCTCCCGTTCGTGATGGGTTTCAATAATGCGGACTGCTCTCAGACGTAAAAAAAGGTTTGTTATAAATATTAATTAAAATAATTTTCTAAATTATATAAAATTGAAATAACAAAGGTAAATATTACCTGTTCATCATGAAAATGCATATCGTGATGGGTATCAATAATGCCGACTGCTCTCCCGTATGGGTTTCAATAATGCGGACTGCCAAAAAAGGTTTGTTATAAATATTAATTAAAATAATTTTCTAAATTATATAAAATTGAAATAACAAAGGTAAATATTACCTGTTCAAAAGGTTTGTTATAAATATTAAAAGGTTTGTTATAAATATTAATTAAAATAATTTTTTAAATTATATAAAATTGAAATAAAAAGGTAAATATTACCTGTTCATCATGAAAATGCGTTATAGCTCTCCTGTGGGTTTCAATAATGCGGACTGCTCTCAGACGAAAAAAAGGTTTGTTTCTTTTGTTAACGTACCCCAGTCTGGAAGCATTATATATCAAGTGTACCCCAGCCTGCTCGTGATGAGTTTCAATAATGCGGACTCCTCTCAGACGCAAAAAAGGTTTGTTGTAAATATTAATTAAAATAATTTTCTAAATTATATAAAATTGAAATAACAAAGGTAAATATAACCTATTCATCATGAAAATGCCTTACAACTCTCCTGTTCGTGATGGTTTCAATAATGCTTTGTTATAAATATTAATTAAAATAATTTTCTAAATTATATAAAATTGAAATAACAAAGGTAAATATTACCTGTTCATCATAAAAATGCGTTACAACTCTCCTGTTCGTGATGGTTTCAATAAGGCGGACTGCTCTCAGACGCAAAAAAAGGTTTGTTATAAATATTAATTAAAATAATTTTCTAAATTATATAAAATTGAAATAAAAAAGGTAAATATTACCTGTTCATCATGAAAATGCGTTATAGCTCTCCCGTTCGTGATGAGTTTCAATAATGCGGACTGCTCTCAGACGCAAAAAAAGGTTTGTTTCTTTTGTTAACGTAGCCAGTCTGGAAGCATTATATATCAAGTTTACCCCAGCCTGGAATTGTATATGCGATGAAAAATTATTCTCTGTATTTTTTTTCTCTCAACTCAGTGAATGATGAGTTGTAATGGTGGTAGTGAATATCCTTTTATACAATTTTTTATTAACAAAAGTGATAAGATAATTATGGATTGTATTTGGATAGATTTTAAATACCATGATTTTTGGGATGCAACAACAAAATATGCAATCACATGTATATATCTTATCACGTTAAAGGTATATCCATCCCTAAAAAACAGGAATAAAAAAACCATATATTTTGAAAGGATTTTTAAATTAGTTTCTACAAATGGAAAGTCAATGGGTTGTTGACCAATTTTTTAAAAGTTTCCACAAATGATTTATTGACCTCTCTTTTTCAATATATATAGATAAAATACATTTTAATTTTTATTTCAAAAAAAAAAATTAAGGAAATACGCAATGTTCTGTATGTTATGTTTCATTGTTTATGACAAATAAATGTAGTAAATCGTACTATCGTGACATGTTTGTACTTTAGTATCAAAAACGACATTTTGTGAAAAATATCTTGTTTTATTTTTATTACAAGTATTAATATATCATTTGTAAAAAAATACTGACTATTGTGATTATACAAGTGCCCCTAAAAACTAGCCTAACTATAGAATCCCTAAAATATTTTGATGACTAACTGCATTAATAATCCATTAAAGTAGTCGATGAGAGTACAAAATTGGACTATGAAAACAAGGATTTTATTTTTTTGGGTAAATAAAATACAATAAAAGAAAAAATAAACACACAAATATTTGCAAATTTGCTAAAAATTTTAATGACGCATAGTGTAATTGTGTAAAGATATCCAAACGCATAGGGTGCTGTGTCTTCGAATCGGTCAGCTCCGATGGACTGCGAGCTAGCTGATCGGAACCCTAGATTCTTTGTCGCCGTACACGTCGGCGCGGGATACCACGCGCCGACGGATGAGGAAGCACTTCGCTCAGCCATGAAACGCGCCTGCCGCGCAGCGGCTTCCGTTCTCCATGAGGTCATTTTCTCAATCATTCCCATCATCTCTTGCTATTCCAAGTTCGATTCGAAAACGGATTTACAAAAAATCGAACAGTGATGCCCTTTAGCGACAATGTGCTAAAAAATCGATTTATGTTGGTGATAATTACCTCAATGTACGAAGTTGAAAGATTTTGACTTGGTGATGAATTCGTTTGGGTCTGATTTTAGTTGTTACGGTTCACGAATTGCTATCTTTTTTTTTTGTCTGATTTAGGGCGGCGGTAGATGTATGGATGCAGTTGCGGCCGCAATTCAAATTTTGGAGGTAAAGTTCGAATGCCTTTCAGTTTGTAGCTTGGTTGTCAATTTGTCATCGTTCTTATTCGAAGTCTTCAATTTTACGACTCTCGGCTTTAAAGATTGCTACCAGTAAAAGTAGCATGTATATTGTAGACCCCTTTCACGCTTTCTGTGCGGTTTTATTTCCAAAATGAGGACCTTTTTATCAAATTTTGATCATTAGGGCGGATTATGTGTTTTCATGTAGGATGATCCTTGCACAAATGCTGGACGAGGCTCGAATTTATCTGAGGACGGTCAGGTAGAATGTGATGCCAGTTTGATGGATGGTGACTCTGGAGTTTTTGGTGCTGTTGGGGCAGTGCAAGGTACTCGGTTTGTGAATATCAAATGAATTTCACTGAAGATGGTGGTGTTTTATCATTGACTATCTTGGGTTCGTTCGTTATTTGCATTTTTGTGAAGTTTAACGGTTGCCAGGTGTTAGAAATCCCATACAGGTTGCTCACCTGCTAGCAAAAGAACAGATTTCGGGTTCATCGCTTTTGGGCCGAATCAGCCCTATGTATGTTTTAGATGTCTTTTTTTATTTTTTATGTGTTTTATTTTAGCACAATCTGTGATGCTTAGGTTTTTAGTTGGCGAGGGAGCCCGTATTTGGGCAAAGTCCAGAGGTATTGCTTCAGATGACACTGCAGAAGAGGCTAACAAGGTAGTTTATTTTGTTTTAAAGCCAAGAGATGCTTTGTTACCGCCTCAACTTATCCTAATTTATGTAATCCATTTTTGTAGTGGTTGGTGACTGAAAGAGCTCGAGATCGGTGGAAGAGATATAAAACGATGCTTGATCATGCCAAAGCCATTAGCGATGCAGCTAAATCGGGTAGCATTAATAGTTCTTAATACCTGGCCCATTTTGTACTCTCACACTTCTAATTTTAAAAGCTTCTTATAAATTGTATTCCTCTTTACAGTAAGACTTTGCATAGTGGAGGTGAAAAACTCGTAGGCCTTGAACAAGCCACTGCCTTTTCATTGGGGGTCATGATCCATAGAAAAATAGTATTAGTGTTAGGTTGTGTTTGGTAAGCATATAAGCTAGCTTATAGCTTATTTGATTAGCTTATAAGCTTCCTGTATTCTAATAAGCTTGAAGATTTTTTAAAAAGCTCGAGCTTATCTCATAAGTTCCTTGGGCCCATTGAAATTTTTATTTCAGCTAGCTTAATAGCTAATTTTACCAAACAATTTTATCATATAAGCTAGCTTTTTAGTCATAAGTCATATGTTATCAGTTATAAGCTCAAAATTCACTTAAAATTTATAAACTAGCTTATCAACTAGGTTTACCAAACATAGTCATTGGGTCATTTTGAAAATTGAACCCATGTCCTACCATATTCTCGTCACTATCATCTCTTAAGTTTCTTCATTTCTTGCAATATGTTTTCATGTTCGTGATCAATTTTAGTCCTTGTTACACCAAGCAGAGGCTGATCTTTCCAACGTAAAGAAACAAGTCACTAAACCTTATCCTCTGCACAAACTTGATGAAGATGGTGTAGCAGACACAGTAGGAGTAATTTGTGTGGATTCTGAGGGTCGTATAGCATCTGGTGCCTCAAGTGGTGGTATTGCTCTTAAGGTGACACTAGCAACTTTTTGGCAAAATTGCATTTTTAGTCCTACCGGTTTAATGCCATAGCAATTTTAATCCCAAAATTCCAACATTTCGCTTTTTGGTCCTCTGATTTAATATTTTTCTTCAATTTCAGTCCTCTAAGTACTAAACTACTGAAATTGAAACAAATTCCCAAGTCTCCGAGTTTTCAATTAGCAATTTAAGTCCTGTAAGCAATTTCAGTCGTGCTAAAATTTTGCTTTGCAGCAAAATATTAAATCACAGTACTAAAAGACGAAAAGTTGGAATCTTCGGACTAAAAGACGTTAAACCAACAGGACTAAAAATGCATTTTTGCCCAACTGTTTTTATCAACTCTCAATGTTTTACGATTTGCCCATAAGTTTGTCTTTTGAGCAAATGTAATTCTTGTTTGTGAACCCTAATTTGTTCCTTTCTCTTGGTACTGTAAGTCAACTCACAATCAAATTGTTACTTCGGTTTTACCATTGTGTTCGGGCAGGTCAGTGGTCGTGTGGGCTTAGCAGGAATGTACGGTTCTGGTTGCTGGGCATCTTCAAAAGGCCCTTTTGGAGATTCTTCTATCGTCGGTTGTTGTGTGAGTGGTGCCGGAGAGTACCTGATGAAAGCTTTTGCTGCTAGAGAATGTTGTGTGTCAGCCTCATTGTATATGCCCGTTTCCTTTTCCTTTTTTTTTTTAAAAAAAAAATAAAATTAAACAGTCCGTTTAGATTGTTGTGTTAAATTCAAAATCGAGACTCAAGCCCCATTGATGAGTTGTGGCTATTGCAGGTCTCAGGCTGGGCCAATCAGTGCCTGTGTCAAAGTTGTGAAGCCCCTTCTTGACAATGTAAAATGTGGCAGTGAAAAAAGTGCTGGAGTTTTACTTGTGCAAGCTGATACTTGTTATGTGGTGAGATTACACATTAAATTAAATTTGCTGTATTTTTTCGTATCAACTTTATTGATCTTATTAGTCGGTTGCACATCAGGGTCCCGATGCTCGTGCAAAGCTGAAAGCTGGCGAAATTGCTGCTGCATATACTTCACCGTCTTTTGGAGTAGGTTATTTTGGAAGCTCTATGAAGCGACCAAAGGTAAACGGTTTAGCAATATATGATCACAGAATCGAAATTGCGTATTGTAACATTTTAAAGCATTCCGAAATTCTGTTGCTCGTGAAATTGACTTTTCTAAAAAAACTGTTGTTTGCAGGTATCTATTCTAAGGAGTAAGCGACCACAGAATCGAAATGGAGTTGAGCAGTTTGCTGCGCTTATTAATCTTGATGCTTGAAGTCTTCATCGTGAGTTACTTACAAAGAGACCATCTTTTTTCCCATAGCCAGTTAACAGCTTCTATGTGATCTGTTTAGTTCTTTGATATAAGATAGACTAGTGCGTGACCCGTGCAATGCACGGGAACACAATATTACGATTGTATTATAAATTAAATATATAAATAACATTAATCATGATATATGTATTGTTTTTACATTAAACCGGGATGGACACAGTCCGACCGGATGGACCGAGAACCGATTTATAACCAGTCTAGTTCGCTTGAATAAGATATTTGCTTTTGAATCCGTAAACACCAGTCGGTTGGATTTGTAGGATCGACACGATTTTTTAAATAAATTTTATTATATTTAAAATTATTTTAAATAAAATTACATATTTAAATAAAATAGAGATTTATAAAGTATTTATCAATTAGTTTAAACATTTGAATTTATAAATTTTTTAAATATCTAAGTAACACATTTTGTTTAAATTTATTACAAAAAATACTATATATATATATATATATATATATATTAAAATATTTATAAATTAAAATCTGAACAAACCACAAATGATTTAATAAAATAGCTTGATCGTTTCGATGACGGTCCAATTCTGAGAACCTTATATTTAATGTACATTAATAAATATTATAATAAAATGTTTTTTTCACATAAATAGTAATAAAATGATATATAAATATTCATAAATCATTAAACATGTTGTCATAAAAGTATTGTTAATACGATTATTTGAAATTTGGACTACATCACATTCACGTAATAAAATATTTTCAATATAAAATTTATATTTAGGTTCAATAATCGATTTGGTGTGATCGAACTGATTCATAACTTAGTCACATGGGACCAACCAAGCCAACCAAGTTGTATCAAGTTTTTTGACTATTTTAAATATTACCTAAAAGTAATTCAATCAACCTGGGCAATACCCTAATTCAATCACCTGATTGATCTGAAGAAATTTTCTTATTTTCTTTAAATATATTTAACTTTATGAAATAAAAATATTTTATGATTCATATAATAAATGTCTACACCAACTAATAGTATATTAAGATTATAAATTATATATCTTAAGATGAATTAATTATTTTTACTTTATGCATATTAATGAAAAATAAACATAGTAATTTTCAAAAAATTAAGGTGAATTGATTGATTATGCAATTTAAAGAATATTTTTAGCTTTCAATTTTTTTTAAAGGCACAAATATAAAGACCGAGATTCTAAAACTTTTGTTATATTTTGAATTGAGATTTTATAAATATAGAGACCGAGATTTTAATTTTGTTCATTGTTTCTAAGAAAAAAATAAAAATAAAAACATACACACTTAATAAATCTTAGCCGGATTTTTTCAATAATAAAATGAACTATACCCCGAAATTTAAGGTAGCATTTAATGATGTATGAATTTTAAAGCAAAAATAAGAAAAATAATAAAACTTACTATTTATAGACTGCATTAAATTCTGACCTATTTTTTTGCTACTATTTTTGGTAAATGTTAATTCTTATTATATATATATAGATTATTATGAATTTATTGTAGAATACCATTTGAAGATCATATCACAATCTTTGTTTGATATATCCAGAGTCATCACCCTTTCAATTGCAGCTCATTTATTTTATCCTCTGCATTTCTGCCAATATTTATATATCAATGGAGTCTTACAGCTTGTACAGTATAATGTATCATCTGCATCACATTTCGGACCATAAGGGTATATTTATTTATAAAATAACTCAATTGCTATTCACTGCACCCTATTACTACTTACCGCCCCTTTTGGACAATTTTTCCCCTGGCATTTTTTTTCAAAAGTAAAAAGAAAAAAACCGTCCGGCCGCTGGAACGGACGGCTAAAAGCCGTCCGGTTTCGCCGGCCGGACGGTTTTTTTTTTTTTTTTATAAATTATTATGTTATATATTCGAAATAATTATGTTATAAATTGGACGTTAGATATTATCGTGTTAGGAGTTAGAAATGATTATGTTACATGTTAGACTTCATTATGCTATTAATTGGACGTTAGATATTATCNG